TCCAAGGTAATGGAGCCTTCCTGCTTAGGGATCAGGGTAATAAGAGTGCTGCCAAAAGCTTTTGGCATGGGGATGCCCACAAAGAATTCTTGAACTGCCCTACAAACATCAATTTTGATAATTTCCCAAGAATCCCTAAATAAAAAACCATTAAAACCATCTGGACCAGCAGTGCTATTGGCATTTAAGGACCAAATTGTTCTCCTGAGTTCCTCCTCATCTAGGATTGACCTGAGCAAACTGTTGTCTTGGGGAGATACACAGTTAGGGATGTGATCCAGGATTTGTCCCATATCCCCCTCATGAACAGTGGAGAAAACCCTTGAGTAGTGGTCCACTGCCACTTTAGAGATCCCCTCCAATGTATTGTGCAGTTTTCCATTATCATCTTTAAGAGAGGAGATACACAATCTATGCCTCCTTCCTTTAACAAAAGAGTGAAAGAAAGCTGTAGAGCATCCCCTTGTGAGATCCACCTTATATTTGCCTTTTGAGCCCAAAAACTCTCCTCCTTTTTAAGGGCTTGTAGGAGAAGGGTTGTGGCAAGTTTGAATTCCAGTAGGTTTATTTGTGAGTCCTCTTGTTCAAGTTTTTCTTCTGCTTGTTCTGCCCTTTTTTCAGCATCTTTAACATCCTGGAAGAGGTTACCAAATGTTTCTTTATTCCAAGTGAGAAGGGTAGCTTTGATGTTTGAAAGCTTGCAAACTAACCCTCTCATACCCCCACCATGATAGGTTTTGTCCCAAGAGGAAATAAGAAGGTTTCTATAAGTAGGATGGGAGCTCCAGACATTCAGGAATTTGAAAGGCTTTGGGCCAGTCCTTGAGCTAGGAAGACAGTTTAATAATAATGGCCTGTGGTCAGAGTTCCCCCTTCCTAGGTGTTTAACTTCAATAGTATGAAACAGATCCAAACAAACCTCATTGATAAGGATTCTATCAAGTCTTCTACACACTCTCCCTCTCCCCCTATTACCAAACCAAGTAAATTGGCTACCAAGAAAAGAAGGAGAGATAAGGTCACAATCAGCAATAGCCTTATTGAAATCATCCATACTACCAAGGTCAGGGCAGACTGCCCCTTTGTGTTCAGTAATGGAGGCCACAGTGTTAAAGTCCCCACCAATGATCCAAGGGCCCTGAATAGGATGGAGGTTTCTCAAAGAGTTCCAAAGCCCAACTCTATCAGCCTTGGTGTGCCTACCATAAACACTAGAGAACCAGAGTGAAGAGGAGGAGCCAAGATGATTAAAGCAGCTAGAGAGGATCTGTTCATCCTCAATCACTGCCATAGTTGTTAAGGCGGCTAGGCGAGGCTGGGCGCTAGAGCACCTTCCAGTCGCCTAGGTGATTAGGCGCCCGCCTAGGCGTCCGCTGGGCGAGTAGGCTATGGCGACCATAATAATTTTATAGGTACTAATGTTAAAGCATATAGTATGAAATAATTAATTAAAATGAACACTGATATATATATATATATATATATATATATATATATATATATAACCCTACTCTAATAAAGTGTACTTTTAAAAGGCCTATTAAATTTTGGACTCCTCTGTGTAGGTCCAATAGTCTATTAATGAATCTAGCCCAGTTATTTGACCTAGTCCACTAGTCTAAAATCTAAATGATAGAGAGATAGGAAGAGGCAGTGGAGGTCGCAAATCTGGAAGCCGCACCACGACAAATACTCGGCGATAAAATAAGTCTTCTCTCCCTCTCCTCGGTCTTCTCTCTATCTCCTCCTCCGTCTTCTCTCCCTCTCCTCCTCCGTCCCATTGCGCTTCTAAAATGGGGACGCGTCTCGGAGATGGTGACACAGTCACTGTACAACGCAGTCGCCCAGGGAAAAAAAGCTAGGCGACCAGTTAGGCGTCCACCAACCCTCGCCCAGACGCCTAAGCGTCGCCTAGGCGACGCCTTGATAACTATGATCACTGCCTGAAGATTGAGAAGGTTGTCATTCCATAAGAACCATAGTTTATTATTAAGGGCAGAAAAACCCTTAGAAAAACCAAGCTTGAGTTTGTACCAATCAAGTTTCTCACGATCAACCATGGGTTCAATAAGGGAGAGAAAAAGGAAGTTGTGATTTTTGAGAAGATGTAAGAGACGAGGGAGAGAGATGAGGATGCCTCTAAGATTCCAAAAAAAGACCAATCATGGGGAAAACAATGGGGAGAATCTATTTGAAGAAATATGTCTAGTGACCATAGGGTGACTCCTCACCTTAGTTCGAGAGCTGAAATCCTTGGGGCTCTGGGAGATAGAATCCTTTAAATGAGGGAAGTCCTCCCTAGAGAGGAGGGCATCCAGTTGTTTTAGTTGATCGTCAATATCTTCTGGCTCCTTGAAGAAACCAATGTCTGGTACATCATCCTCTGGGAGAGCAAATCCTTCAAAGGGGACTATGGCCAGGCTATTGTCAGTTTTATCTGGGTCTTCATACAAAATGGGAGCCATAACCACGTTTTCATGAAGATGACGTAAAGTGAAGGCTGAGAGGATAGAGGGGTTTGAAATGGAGTAGGTCCCAGCCTTCTTATGGTCTGCTTTATTTGTATTTGTAGTTGTATAAGGAAAAATAATGGTGGCCTGGGGGGAAGCAGGAGGCTTTGCATGGCTATTGGAGGACTCACCTGGCCCTTCTTTCCAAGCAGGAATAATTGGTGCATGTTTGGCCCGCCACTCTAACTTCCCTGCCCCATTAACTGGCAATTTGTCCTTACCCTTTTTGGAAACAACCTGTTGCCATTGTTCAGCAATTTTATCCTCTTTGGCCTATACCTGGTTGTCCCTAGCACCCTTCAGAAAATGCCTCCCTCTTATGATTATCCTTCTCCGGTGGGATTTTCCGGTGAGCGCAGGTCTCAATAGTGTGACCTGTTCTTTTGCAGGTCTTACAAAAAAGGGGAACATTTTCGTAGTAGAAAGGGAAAATAAGCTCCTCTCCCCCATGATTAATGAGGACCTTCGCCGGAGGGAGGTTAGAGATATCCACCTCCACACAACATCTTGCCAAGCCTGGCCGAGAGAAATTTAGAGTGTTGGAATCAACTTTCAGAGGGGTGCCTATGGAAGAGGAGATAAGATGGAGAGCTCTCTTATCATGAAGATGGATGGGAAGATCTGGAAAAGCAATCCAGATAGGCATGATAGGCATGACTGGATTTTCCATTTCTTGGGAGAGAGAGGGACTCCATTTAGACAGGGTCATAGTGTAACCAAAAACCAGCCATGACCTTCGAAGAAATAGACGAAGATAATCCTCCTCTTCATGGAAATTGATCAGGAATCTGTGGGGTGAGAGAACTGTGAGATCAAAGCTTCCTCTGAGACCCAATTTTTGCAGAAATTTGGTCATGGAAGTGAAAGAAGGACGCCTCAGAAACTTTGCCACCAGTGCGAGCTTAAAACGGGAGGAGAGCTCCGCAATGTCTTCCTGTGTGAAGCTAACCAAGGGAATACCTTTGAAGAAACCAGTTGCTTTACCCTCCAGTTTTTTTCCGCTGTAATCATCCGAAACCACCTCTGAGAATAGTCGGTTAAGAGTATCCGGAGGTTTTCCGGTGGCCGGATTTTTAGAGAGAGAATCAGCCATCATATGATATATATATATATATATATATATATATATATATATATATAAATTTATTTATTTATTTAAACATATTTTTATTAATAGGAGAAAGAGAAGAGATACCAGGCAGATTGAGTACTGCCCCCCAGCACACTTGTTTGGGGTACAATTCCAATCGAACATGGATGTTAAAGTAAATGTAAAGAGAAAGTAGCCAAAACATGTAGGCCAAAATGCAAAAATGTATAGAGCATGTGAAAGGTGCTGGACGTCCTAGAGGAGACAAACGCTAACAGCCAAAAAAACAAATACAGCATGCATTCCATATTTCCATAGCTGGACAGTTTCATTTGCTACCTTCCAAATCGCATCCAAGAAAAGCTTCATCAAACAAGTGTAAGATGCTGGATAGGGTCCGTTGCATCTATTACAATCTCATTCCAATCAAGAAGTTGTTGGAGATGCTGGGATTGAAGAAAATCCT